AGTCAGACTTATGCATAAATGTTAAAAACACACCTCTAACTAAAAGATTGAAAGCAACAAAGCCAGAAGAATTCTTTTCAACTCATATCCGTGCACATTAACTATGTACATTGTATTTATTTTAAAATGAATGTTCATGAATAATCAAAAATCTGGTATCTTAAACTTTTTGCAAAAATTATAAAAACATGTAAAATATACTATTGGTTTTAAGGAAGTATTATAATTCAATATTTGAACTGGCCTTACTCATTCTTTTTTTTTTTTAGATTAAATTGAATTTTACCAATTTTCTGTCGTCGGCTTCCCTTGCCTATGCAGCAATGTACCTTCATCGCCTGCGTGCAGAGTATGTGTATTTCAGTTGATTCGATGCGCGAGAGCGTGCTCTACGGGTGAGCGGTGTCTAAGGCGGATTTGATTATTGACAGGCGGGTTGATGGGGCAGGAATATCAACAGTCTCATTTAATGTCATCATTTTGTAAGCTCTATGGTCGATACAATGACCTTGTCAGCAAATACAACTTATCATTGAGTCAAATGCTGACTGACGTTTTTCATACTAATTGTTAGACCATTGTTTGTACACTGAATTGACGACGGATTTTTCCATTATTTCCTGATCATGACAAGGAGCACATGATGGGTGTGATCGGTCAGCAGGTGATACTCACTCCTCCATTGCACCTGATCCTACGACTGATGTTTCGAAGGTCCATGTTTGCTCTGCTCCTATTTTGTATTGTTTTATGGACTTTGAGACTGAATGCTGTTCGTTATCCCCAAATTCTTCATAAAAATACTAGAATTCAGTAAATATATGCAAAACATTGAAATTTCAACTTATTAGTTGTTTTCCTCCAAACGTGCTAGATAAAATTGACAAGTGTAGACAAGTGGTCTATAGAGTTTACAGTATAGAATCATAAACTACGTTTCAAAAATGAAATTTAGAAAAAATAAATAAGAACATGAGAATATGTGAAAAAGTAAGAAAATGAGAGGAGAGCAAAGAAGTTCAAAGGAAAGTAGCCTACAGAGTACAAAAAGTTCTCGGAACTTTTACATTGTAATTGATTTCAGTATATTCATGGTATTGTTTCTAGACAATGACGTTTAACTGTTTAAACGTAATTATGAATCTTAAGTAATTGTAAGGACATATTCACCAGAGAAAAAAGTCCAGCTCGTTTGTTCAGCATATAACACGTTCTCATTGCAGTTTCGTCTCAGTAGTTTACAAGACTTCAGATTATTGGTAAAGAACACGCCAGCACACACCGTCATCGAACATGTCAATGAACACTCTATAATCCTAGTATCCTCTAACTCGAAATCGTAGCAGCTTCCACTCGTAGGTAACACACAACTTAAATAAGACAATGGCCTTGACTTCAATGATTTCACGTTTGCTTTACATTTCATGACCTATGAATAGAACAAAAAATAAAGCGAACTAGTGTTTTATGTGCTTTGTATGCCATCTTTGCGAGTTATGTTCATTTTCGAATTATTTTGCGATTTGAATTGCTCCTTATGATATCCACATCAGAACTAAGAATCATATATGCATTATTTTGCGGTATAATGTAACAAGACAATGTTAACCAGCAAGGATTACAAAAAATGTGCATAATTTGTAACATAATGGCATTAAAAGGACAGACATTCAAGCGTATTTTGGATAATCGAACACAATAGGGAAAAATACATTGATATAAATATATAATTCAAAGCCCTTGCTTTACACTGTATTAAACTCAATTCTTAATGAGACTATTCATCGTGCCAAGTTCACAAAATGAGGAGCATTCTAGAAAATCATAGTGTGACATAGCAGTGGAAAAAATTAACAATAGAAAATTCTCTCATAACCATGAATAGATTGGCCACTCGTGTTGCTTTTTACGAAAAGGGTTTCAATTTCCCGTTTAATTATTCATAAACACATCCGTAAGAAAAGTTTTTAATATGCTGTTCATAATTAAGTTTTTTACCAATTTAATGGGGGATTTATTTGCGTTGCACAAAAATTCGTCTATTGTCATGATTTGTCGTAAACTTTCTGTGTTTTTATTTATGTAATTTTTCATATGAAAAATTATGTATATCAGTCGATACACGCAGACTACAGAAAAGTATTCACAAATAGTTACAACAGAAAATAACTATTTCAATAAAAATTAAATGCACTCATGATTAGTATAAAAAAAAGAGTGACAAGAAAGTATTTGAAGCCTCTTTTTAACTTATTTTTCATAAAAATATAAATTGCAAATGATTCTTGACTCGACGTCTATTATATATACCTTGCTTTGCATTGTTACATTTGTTTAACTTTATATTCTTAAACATTTGTTAAAATATTTCTTTTGTATAAAGTGAATCTTGCTAGTTTTCACATCTACCCTTTCTTTTTCAATTTGAAATGATGCTAACATTTCCACCCAAAAAATTAAGTATTGTTCAAAGTGCTGTTTAGATGTTATGTTTATTTCTGCATTAACATCAATTATTCTACAAAATTCAGGATTCGAGATTTTTTTTATGACTTTTTTTCACAAAATATGAGAAAATACGAGAGTTATTCAAAAAATACGTAGAGAATGTTCCTCATCGTCATTTTTTATTTACTACAAGGTTATAGATCTACACATTTTCGTAAATAAAACATTTATTTTGTCGAAGTGTGAAGTTTCATTCCATTTGATTATATTGAACTCATAATAGCCAATTTTTAAAGCAACATGTTTTGTTACCACAAAACACTGTTAACCAATATTGTAACGTCAAAAACAACGTCGTAAAAGTTTTTCAAAATTATGCTGCTTTTTTATTTCATACATGGTTTGTATATCGTCTTCTCCATTCATAAAAACGTATCCATAACACGTAACACCTAGTTTGCTAACAACTTTGCAAATAGCTTGAACAAAATTGTTAGTGCTTTCAAATTCTTTACTGCGTAACTCTATTAGTTCTGCAAAAGTGAAGCGCACATTACGTTTAATAACATTCCTAACTCTTTTGAGTTTTGACAATATTTCTTATCTAAAACCTGTTTCTTTGCAGACTATCCATCGTCCGATTAAAACTCGCTACCACTCAAAAATTGAATTTCCATTTTCTACAAATTGACACCTCTGTTTTCTTACATTTCCTGGTTTATACAGTTTTTTTAAGTTTAATAACGAAAGTTCCCGAATGCAAGGAATAATTTTATTGCTACTCGCTGCTCCTTGACGTCCTTCAACGTCATGGTTTTTTCGCCTTTTTTAAATCAAATCCATATGTTTTTAGAAACTGATATCTTTTAAACGGAGCGATATATTACAATACCTGATATCATTTCCATTTATACAGCAGTACTTAATTTAAACATGAAAATTTTATTTCGTTTCACTTCCATTTGTTAGAGGTATGGCTATAGATACTATAAAGTGAAAATTAGTAAATTAATCAATTTTGACCTTGCTACGTGACCCCATTTTGCTGTTCTAAATATTTGATGATTTTTATTATATAAAAGATAAATTTTTCTTATTTTTTTCAAAGCATTCGAATTTGATGGTTAAATATGTGTACCAAATTTGAAAATAATATAACTTTAAATAAAAAAAGTCTACGAACTTTTTGAATGACCTTCGTTTGTTATATTTTATATTTCTGCAACTTTAGATCATCCATATTTTATCGTATTATATGATACTTATGATATTCCATTCCAAAACAAAACAATTTTCATAATTCCATCAAACCCTTCAATGCAAAATTTTAACAGTAATTGCTGAAACTGAATAAATGAAATATATATGGAGATAATGAACAATATTCTGGCATGAAAGTCCATTAAACAATACATAATAGGTGCAGAGCAAACGCGGGTCTCTGTGGCAGAGAAAGAACCAGATGTCATGGAGGAGTGAACATCCCCTACCGACCAGTCACAAAACTGTTTCACCAGATAAGTCATTTTTCATGAATTAGATAGTTGAGAGGACCTGTATGATTAGATATAAATACAAATTAAAAAAAAATAGTTTTTGCTTTAAAACAGCTCTGCAATGAAGATATATTTTCTTTTATATATACAAAAATATATCTTGCCAGCACTTAAGATCGTTGAGGGAAGTAACTAGTAGTCATATTAGCTGGTCCATGCTCTAAAAGAAGTTAGTGTAAACGTATACGTGGTATGAAGAGAAATAAATATTGAGGTTCCTTTCACCGTTGAGTAAAGAGCTATAAGATAAAGACAAAAAAGTATTGATTTAATTAAATTGATAAAACAAAAAATATGTATGTAATCGTAATAATTTTTCTATATTTATACACATTCAACTTAAATTACAAATTAGTAAATTAAAAACATCAATCTTTGAATGCAAAGAGAAATTGCTATGGGATAAATATTTGGTAAATATTCAAAATATCAAAACATCGTTAATTTTAAACATGAAACAACTTCTAAAGTTTTTTAAAGACACATCAAATACATGGATAAAACAAAATTCAAAAACAACACAAAAAAAATTTCGTTTTCTAACATATACATGATGTCGTATTTTTGGATATTCTAGACATCAGAAAATTAAATGTACAATGTATAAAAATGTGCATGATCTAATGTCTTGTTAAAAAGGAATTGTTAAATGTTTTATATATCGGCAAATTGAAATGTTTTGCAACAAGTTTCCCGTATGAATTAATAAGAATCTAACTCCTTCATGCAGCTCTCTGTAAATTGCAATTGTAAACTATTTGTATTATCAACGTCAGGTCTCCGCTTACAGGCACGTAGCATCGTTTTTGAAAGTGGGGGGCCAACCAGAGAAAATTGTTTTTACTTACCTGAAAAAGTTGACAAAAAAAAAAAAAAAAAAAAAAAACGAAAATTGCCCAAACACAAAAATCCGAGTTGGTGGGGGGGGGGGGGGGGGGGGGGGGGGGCAAACTTTCAATTCCAATTTTTATCCTATAATTCCTTGATATCACTATACTATGGTACAAAGTGGGGGGCCAACCATCCTTTCAATGAACATTTTCTATAGTAAAGGTAATGTTGGGGGAAAAAAGTGGGGGGACCATGCCCCCCCCCCCCCCCCCCCCCCCCGTTTCTACGTCCCTGGCTTAAACAGCGAAAACACAAAGGGGGATAGGGCATTGGCAAATGCCCCTCCGAGTCAGATTTGTCTGACTGAAAACGTGCACAATTTTATAAACTATAGAAATGCATCAAAGCATTGATTTATTTAAAATCCGATACCCTAAATTCAAATATTAAAAAAATAAAGCCTTTACGCAGAGAAATCTACAACTCTTTCTCACAAATAAATGGTATTTTAGAGGAACATGTCCCATCATCCCACTGGCCTGTATGAAGGAGTACAGCGCAGTCCTGGTTGAAAAATACTCCATTGTTGGGCTCATTAGGATGCCAATTGAAGAACCTAACATTTTCTTTTGATTTACTCCAGATAAATTCACCCTCTGTATCGATGTCATTAGCTCCGATCCACGCAGGACAGGTGTAATCTCCACTACAGGCACCTGGAATTTCAAACCAGTAAAGAATTCATCGTGATTCGTCAAAATCATTGAAGCGTAGTAAAAGTATCATGCTTACACTTTTTTGGAAAATGAATTACATTTCTTACAAGTATACTAGTACATGTACTTTTTATAATTGCTACACAAGGTTATGATTTTTTAACTGTATAGCACGTTAGGGAAATGAAAAAAAAAATAACAGCAATACTAGTTATCGTGTTTCAATCACAAACTTAGAAAATCCTGATATTATTTATTTTTTTATTATTTAATTTTATTTCTTTAAATATGTATCTTTAAGATATTAAAAAACAAATAAATTATACCTATTGTACATGTAAATACAAATGTATGTATGCAAGAAAACAGCATAAATATTCATCAGAATATCAATTAAGCTAACAATTCTATCAATTTACTAAACACGTTCAGAACGAACATGTATATAGCGTATTCACGGAAAAAACGAAAATAGTCGGATTCCCCGGAATAATTCTTAACAACTCCTTGCAAAAATTAATGGTTATAACGAATCATGAATATCGATACAGCGAACTGATTTTGAGTTTCTTAAAGGGAAAAAATTCAAATTGAAATCTTCAATAACGAACTTTTAAAGACCCCAAAATTTGATAATAGAACTGACTTTATTTCCTTAATTATTTATATAGAAAATTCAATTGATAATAAAACCTTTCTTATCCAAAGTATAAGGATAAATAGGAAGATAATATTAGATTCGTACAGAAATTTATCCTACCTCATGGCATGCCTTAACAAAGATTATACTAAAATTTCAAGCATCTGCAATGAGTAGTTGATGAGAAAACTGCGTCCAGAAATCTGTTACAGACAGACACACACACCCTCACACAAACACATCCTCAGAGACATACAATGGTAAAACAGTATACCCACCTCACCTTCAGAGCGGGGGTATTATTACGGATCTAGCATGTTAAATTCAAAGGATCCAGAAACTTTGCTATATGAAAAAGTATTACCGTGCTTTACAGTATAAAACTTACTACTTTCAATGATCTGTAAGAAGGTCTTTTGAAGAAAATCATTTTCCTTTTCTTCGTTCACTTCTACCAGATAAGCATTTTTCTTTTCACATTTTTCCTGTAATGTTTTAGCAATCATTTAATCATAGCTGTTTATAGTAAAATGAATCGTACAAATATGAATAAGAAGCCTTTAAAGTTCTCAAGTTTGAGAGCAAAAAGCTAAGATCTTATACAACATAAAGTTTATCCGAAAATAAAATTTTGAGATTAAAAAACTATGAAAATTTCAAGGAAGTTTTATTAAACTTTGTAAAACATGTTAAATTAATTGATTGTCGCATCTGTATAAACTTACTCAAAAAAAAAAATCCAATGCATTTATTATGTCTGTTTTCATTATCTTTTAACACTTGTTCATTAGTTGCATTTTTTTTGTAAAAACTGTACCTTGATGTTTATTCAAAGAATTGTTCCATGTCAGATATCAAGTTGATAGGATACCTTGATATTGTCTTTAAATACAATTTTTGGCGTATATAACTTTCACAAAAATGTTTGTACTATAACTAAATATGATTTGTCATTGATTTGAATTATACAGAATGAAAAAAAAGATTAGGTAAATAATTTTTGAGTTATTTTCTACATCAAATTGATCTTGGAAGGAAAATTAACTGAGGATATAGGTATTTAAAAACAAAACATTTCTCCTTTTTGGGTAAGTGTTTTGTCTAAAATCGTGTTTTCTTTTAAATACCGTAACCTTATTGTAGTTTCTGTTATTTGTTCACATACCTTGGCTTCTTGCCATGTAACACTTGTTTCGTATTTATAGTAACAATGATTTTCGAATTCACTCCAACCCTTATCACAGCCTGAAATAGAAACAATACAAATAATCAATTAGTGAAAGAAATGAAATGTTTACAAATCATGTTAATTAAATTTGACTTAACAATCATTGACCATGACCGAGATTTATATTATTCTGAATATGTTTCCCTTTATTGTATTGAAGCCAGTGAAAAAAACGAATTTTTTGTACGTGTATATGTATATTCTTTATGCCTATTTTGTAACCACCATAGTTACGTATACACAAACACGTAAATTGTTGATGACCATGAACATTTGTCCCAAAGAATTTAAATAATTAAACAGAATACACTATAAAAACATTGATTTTACATTCATATGACAGAACTCTTATTTTTGCACGCTGAACAAACAGATGTATTGTAAGACAGGAACTATGCAACGAATGAATGAATTGATATCCTTTTTTCGTTTATTGAGAATATAGATATGAATACATTATATATTTAGAGATAAGGAACTGTATTTGAGTTCAAAAGTTCATTCAAACAATATAAATCAGGAGCAGAGCAAACACGGATCTCTAAAACATCAGAGGTGGGATCGGCTGTAAGTAACCAATTCCAGCTTAACCGCCGTGTGTCCCTTGTCATGATCGGGAAATAACATAAAAACCTGTGGACAATTTGGAGTTGAAATAATGAAATAAAAAAAAAAAAAACGTCAGTCAGCATTAGTCAGTCAACGTACCTTTTTCGCAGATTAAATCAGTCCTCCATTTTCCGTTTGATTGGCATATGAACTGCTGTGACCCAGTTTGTTTATAGTTTTCTGCACATTTTATATGTATTCTCCTTTGGATTCCAATTCCATCCCACCTTTTTACGGCGTCAAGGGTTACATTTTCACTCCTAGGAACTCCACAGTCTTTGTTATTAGAAATAGCATAGGCTAATATTTGTACTTTTATTTGAAATTTAATTTTATTGTCAATTTAAGAAAACAAATTAAAAAATTGCTTCATTTATTTTATAGATGTCTAGCTATTTCAACATATATCTCACAGATGCGTGCCTTTTATCAATGAACAATTTCAAATATTTGAGCAAGCACAAATTTTATATACCTATGAAAAAAAAAGTTTTTGTGTTGTTCTGTTATGGCAATATCCTAATTAAAACATTTGATAAAAAGTATCAAATCACTGTGTGTTGCATTGTCGAATGAAAATTTCCATGCACCAATTTGAGCCGGGGTACATAAAGCATGACGTCACAATGTATACTCTCTCTATGATAAAAACCAAATAACATGACCTCACGATGCATTGAAGTACAATGTACGTAGTTATTTTATCGATATATTGAGACACATTTTTAAGACTGATGTTTACAAAGGATATTTATGGGAATAAGGTAACAAATAAAACTTATCTACGTACAATCAAGGGTGTATGGGTATTTAACCCGGGTTGTGTTTCGGCTTTCGACCGAATAAAACCCGGGGTAAATTCCCGTAAGTCCTTGATTTAACCAGGATATTATTCGAATTAACTCAAGAAACAAACACATTCTACATTTTCCTACATAGTCACAATAAAAGTCCTAGATAAACATTTATATACACATGTACATGTAGCTAGCCACATTGGTAAAGAGAAAGAGAATTTTAAGCTCTTACCTGACAAAATGCACTTAAATTCCCCGAACGGAAGCTGCTGACATGTTTGGTTGTCATTACAGTTTGCCTTCGAGCAAGGTCCAATGAGTTCCTAAATATAAATGCAGAAACATTTTGTCTTTCTATATCATACTCACATTTTCATTAATTATCGCTTTGTCCAAAACTAAATGTAGTCAATAGTTCAATTTAAATGTTAAATTTTCTGTTAAAACAAACCTTTTATAAGGGGAAATTTTCGCCCCTTTCAGCTAAGACACTAAAAAAACTCTGTATGTTTATATTAAAATTATATGATTTAGTCTGTCCTCCATGATTTTCCCCTCATTTATTTCATTTTTGATTTAATTAGATGTATCATGTGTTTTTCTTTTTTCCCCTCCAATTTCATTTTCTGATTATCTATATCATATGCTTATACCTCTGACCTGAAATTATAGGCTGTAAATATTTTTCACTGTCCTTATGCACCATGCTTTTTAAATTGTTTTGAGTGAATAGATTAACTTGAGTGAATAGATTAACTTGAGTGAATAGATTAACTTGAGTGAATAGATTTACTTGAAATTAATCGTCCTACTTACAGGTGGGCGAATTTAAAATGGGCGACTTAAAAGAGTATAATTTCTTAAATAGAACTGTGATTGGGCGAATTTGAAAGTGGATGAAATTATTTGCAATAGTTAATGTGCGAAAACTGCACAGGGCAAATATAATCCCGCAAACAGTTTATGAAAAGCATCAGCAACATTAATGGAATGAAGCAAAATAAATAAATAAATAAATAAAACGTCATTATTCCTGAAAAAAAATATTTGCCTAGTTTATCTTGTATATGTGGGAAAAAGTTGTTGAATTGTTTGTGTTCTGTAAGAAATCTTAATAAATAAGACAATATTTTTTGTAAAATAGCGTTTACGTTTTGAAAACACTAATAATAGATAAAATTAAGAAATAATTAGGAATTCCTCTTTTTAAGGTCTTCCGTTTCTGACGGAAGACCTTATAGTGATTCCACTGTTTCTTTTTATTATTTTTTTCCCCTTTTGAAATTTCTTTTTTTGACGATTTCTCAGATATGACTGAACAGATTCTCATGAAATTTACAGGGATGATAGAGAATTAAAATATCTTTCAAATGTAGTTTTCAGATTTTCAGAATTCACTTCCGGTCGTCAGATATGTCCGATTTCCATTTTTTCCAAAAATATTTTGTCCGAGTAATATCTCAGAAACGGTAAGAGATTAAGACACCAAACTTATATGAGTAATAGATCTTGATAAGTAGGCAAAACCATTTGGGTTGAAATTGTCCGCCGTCACTTCCGGTTGTCACAGGAAGTGATCAAAAAAATCGAAAATTTGAAATTTTTTTTGAAACTTTATTGCATCACATTACAGCATCTTATTTGTAGTTTCAAAATATGTCAGTCCCACCGGAAACAAAAACGACAACTTCTGGTTAGAAGAGGAAAAATGCATATTTTGAGTATTTTTCTTTCCCATAAATATTTTTTATACATGAAGTATTTGTAATGATTTTTGAATATGTTATTTAGACTGCAAATGTCTACAGTAATGTCAAATATCTTTGTAAAATTCACTTCCGGTTGCGTGATTTCCTGTCCTCAAAATGAGAAGTTATCATAGCTAGATCTCGTAAACAGTAAGAGATAAAGACACCAAACTTATGCTAGTAATAGGACTTGATGAGTATGCAAAATTATTGGGAAAAAAGATTGTCCGCCGTCACTTCCGGTCGTCACAGGAAGTGATCAAAGAAATCGAAAATTTGAACTTTTCTTTTCTGAAACTTTTTTTGCATCACATTATAGCTTCTTATTTGTAGTTTCAAAATATGTTAGTCCTACCGGAAAAAAAGGCAACTTCCGGTTATAAGAGAAAAACTGCATAATTTGAGTATTTTTCTTTCCCACTAATAATAACTTATAGATAAAGTATTTGTAATGATTTTTGGATATGTTATTAAGACTGCATATGTCTACAGAAACCTCAAATATCTTTGTAAAATTCACTTCTGGTCGCATGATTTTCTGTCCTCAAAATGAGAAGTTATGGTAGCTAGATCTCATAAACGGTAAGAGATTAAGATGCCAAACTTATAGGAATGACAGATCTTGATGAGTAGGCAAAATCAGTTGGGATAAGATTGTCCTCCATCACTCCCGGTTGTCACAGGAAGTGATAAAAGAAATTGAAAAATTCAACTTTTCTTTATTGAAACTTTTTTTGCATCACATTATAGCATCTTATTTGTAGTTTTGAAGTATGTCAGTACCACTGGAAACAATAACGACAACTTCCGGTTATGAGAGAAAAACTGCATAAATTTAGTATCGTACTATCCCATAATTATTTTTTTTTTATAAAAAGAGCATTTGAAATGATTTGAGGGCATGTTATTCAGACTGAAATGTCTAAAGTAACCTCAATATCTTTTTCAAAAATTTACTTCCGGTCACGTGATTTCTTGTCCACAAAATAAGAAGATAACATTACGAGATCACTTAAACCGTAACAGATCAGAACACTAAACTTATATGAATAATAAATCATGAAGATTGGGCAACAGATATAGGGTAAAATGCGTTCGCCGTCACTTCCGGTCGTCACAGAAAGTGATAAAAAATTGAAAATGATTTTTGTAAATGTTATTAAGACTATAATTGTCTAAAGTAACGTCGAGAATCGAATCTTGGTAAGTTACACCTCCGGCCGTTTGTTTTCCTGAAATCATTTAAAATATTATATGCCTTTTTAACATAGATAAAAGCTCATTCATGCTGATAAATAGAAGAGAACGGAAGACCTTCTTTGTTGCTGTAGCAACAAGAGTTTCTAGTTTTCTTTTTTATTATTAATGAGTCGATGGTAAGGTTACAATGTAACTGATGCAGACCGAAAATCAATAACTACGTACTACGTACTAAGTTTCAGTGAACAAGTAGTAAATGTAAAAATAGTTTTGATTATATGTATAGATTTGCATATCCACTGCACTCTTCCACTATGAACATGTAGTCATTAATTGCATTCATAGGCTTATAGACGCAGTTGCTTCTGCGCTAAGTGCAATTGCTCTATCACACTCGTGCTGTGCAAGCTCTACTACCTACATAAAAAGTGTTGAGAAGTATATATATGAAATGTTTCGTAAAAGGAATAACTATAAGTTTTTAATAATAATTTTTGGAATAAAAGAAATTCAGAACAATTTAAATTTGCTGATTTATATCTTTAAAAATTTAATTTTGGTCAATGTATTTAATTGTATAATAAAAATTTTAAAAATTGAAGAGAATTGCCATATTTTTATTTTTTCTTATCACATTTTTGCATATTTGTACAAAGAACGATAACTCTTCACACTAGGGTGATAAAACATTCAGAAAAAGCAAAATTTCTTTAATTTAATAGTAGATCTATGTCTATATTTCAAGAACGGTTTCAGCTCTTAAAAATAAATAGAAAAAAAAATTAAAAATCATATAGAAAAGTATTCTGGAGTTAGAATGATTATTAAAGCATTCTCTTTTTTCAGCAAACGGTTAAATTATTGATTTTTGTCAGAGGGTTTCAATAACGTTGATCGATGACGTCACATCTGCATCAAAACAAAAATTAAGAGAATGTGACGACGGCGCAGCTTGTATCCAGATAACTGTGTTTTAAAAGAGGCTTGTACTTTATAAATTGTTTGTGATTTATTAGAAAAAAAGTGCAATGATCAGAAAAATATTAATTTTTAAGCCGTGCGTTTTTCATTACTGAAGACAACAAGCCGCATCCTTATGTAAGTCAGAATTTCCTCTGATATTCTTGACAACATCAAAGAATGCAAATATAAGTAATAAACAACGATTATTTAGTGAATATGGCATTATGAATAACAACAGCTCGATTTGCTGGCATATTTTCCATGATGCGCGCTATGCCAGCAGAGCAATTGCTATTCATAACGCCATGTTCACTAAATAACGTTGTTTATTTCTTAGATATGCATGCATCCTTTACTTTCTTAATTCATTCAATGACGTTCTACTGGAATTTAAATAGCAAACAAGGAGATCATATTTTTTTTTCATAGTAGAGAAATCTGATTAAGATGACAAAAAAATGAACATTTCCGTCAGAGCAGAGAGGCGAGCAGAGTTAAAATTTTGTGTAGCTCTGAGGATAATGTTCTTACAATCGTACGTAAAGTATATATATATTATACACACTTTCTCTCTCATAGTTACAGATAGCTTACTTTGTCCCAATCCTCTATGTCGCTGTAAATCCAACCAGAACCTTGCACATACATAAATGACGCTGTATTCCTGCTCTCATAGTTAATTTCACAATAATTAGCCCCTTTGTAATAACTTATTGACTTGCACCTTTTTCTTTTAAGGCATTCTTCCACACAGTTTAAAATACTGAAATCTATGAAGGAAGTGATCATCCTTCTATCTAACCTATATCCATGTTGCAGTTTGGCATAGCTTATCTCAAGGCTGCCAGAACAGAAAAATATATTGACGGATAATATCCAAAATATGAAAATAAGCTTAGATAAAACACGGGGAATCAACATTATTCTCTAAATGATTATTAAGTGTGTATCCGTATCCTTCAACTTTTTGAATAAGAGATAATGATTCAAATGTTTGATGCCACCACAATCCTAAACAAAGTTATTCTATGAATTTCTATCATCTTGTCAATTCAAAAAGCCATATCATTAATATTGCATTGTATTTCATACAAAGATAACAATGGATGAACAGTGGGTCTTTAAAACGAATGACATTCTAAATAAAATAAATGAAGTGTTTATTCGATCCTAAAATATCAATATGCATTACAAACATTAGAAAAAGTATATAAAACACGGACACCTCTGAATTCCATGTTCTCCTTTCCTTATGTCATTGCTTTACATCGTTTATCAGAGTCGACGTCCGTATAACGAGGTCCGATCTACTTCATCTGCGCATACGTTTTAACACAGCGTCGATTCAGGCACCTCACAGTGCCCTTGATTGCCGTCACAATTCAAAAAAATAACGTCATAATTAAAATGACGTCAAATGGCGTTAAAATGTTTCGCTGATCTTGCTTACCTGGTAGCTCTACAGACTGTGCATGTTGAAAGCTGACTTTTTCTGGCATTTCTATCATTTACATGTTTTAATTTTTTTGAATTAATAATCAACTGTAGAACATAATTTACTTTGAGGTATCAACTTCGTGGTACAGATTCATTCATTTTATCTTATATTATTTCAATTAGTGAGTTAGAAAAAACAAGCAAACACTGCAACCAAATGTAAACGAGTTTAGTCTTTCTCATCAACATATTAAAGACTTTATGCACACACCTTTTTACTGCGGACTTAAATATGCATGGATTAGCTTGAGTTCAAAAATACATGTAAGTCTCTGAATCATTCAAATGCAACCACCAAAATATCTTATTTTTCTATATAATACATGATAGTAAAATCCGTAATTTTGTCGCCTTTTTACCCCCCCCCCTTTTTTTCCACGTAAAACAAAGTCGTGTGTTAAGAAAAAAAATAAAGCATGGAGAGAGAAATATTTCTTATAGTAAGAATTATTTAATTTTTAAAAACTAATACGGTGTTACAATTATTCGAACCCACTGAGACTTATAAAAATATCTAGTTGGATAAATTAAATCCTATTTTTGTGTTTTGATAGGTTCCCTTTTTACTGCAATAAAGTCTTCCTCCAATTCCTTTTCATTTTTTAAAGAGGAATGAACATCGCATGATATATGTGAAAAACAAAAAATATCATCATTTTTTTTTATTTGTCAATTACTTTGTTTATTGGGGAGTTTTAGTATGTGGTAATTGTGTATAAATATATACACGAAAAATGATCCATACCTTGAATGTGCCCCCATTTAACTACAATAAAGGCAAGGTAACAAAATTTTATTCTAATTTTTCTTAACATAATACATACAAAAATTTTTCTAAGATTTAAAGTTCTTGTCATTCTGCTTTTGTAATTTTCAATTAGATTGGGCCTCGTTAAGTGATATTTTCCTCCTTAGATGAAGTTGATCTCAAATTCAATATAAATAGTCAAACGCATCAATGAACAAAATATGTTCAGGAAAACCAATGGCTTAAAGCATTCATATTTTATATTTAGATAAAAACTGTCTTTAGTTTTAAAAACATCAGACACTTTTTATGATCATTTATGTATAAGAGATATATTTGATTTTGATGAAATATTTCCCTATACACTGTTTCTGAACTGATTTTTTTCTAACTATATAATATTTCTACCATTCAAATTTTAAAAATCAATGTTTGAGTATTTAAAGGATGTACCGATTTAAGGAAATGTACTAGTTTATTTCAAAAAGCAGAACTCATTTTTGAAAGCTCCTAAGCAAGACATGATCAGTTGAATAATCAAGAAATATTTAAATGATTTTTCTGTTGAAACTACTTTTAATACATATACAGCTCCAAATTTCAATATCAAGAGTTAAATCAGCAAGCATCGAACATTGAATGGAAAGTCAAAATTTTATTTTTTCAAAAGCCTTTGGTAGATAAAAGATGTTGTACTACCTTATGTTTAAGCACAATTAAAAATATTTTAGAGGTGTTAAGGGACTGGTATGCAAGGAAATCTATTGCCTTAGCAACAGTTTCATAAATACTTATGAAAAAAAATGATTTTTAGCCATTTTTCCATGAATGTGTTCTCTGAACGTGATAAGTTAAGGTATTTTGATTACTTTATTTGTTGAAATATTGGATTGCCTTATTCTCCAAAAACAGGAAAAGCAAAATTTCTTTGGTGATATTGTTGTCATGGCAACGGGAAAAATCTTTTAAAAACGTCGTTAGAACATATTTTTCACCTTTGCATGCTCCAGTTGAATGTTATTTACAAGTTTGAGCTAAAAATGAAAGTGGCGTAACCTTGACAAACACGAATGCAACTTAACGGTAGATACAACCTCTGTTTGTATATCGTGCAATTTTTTCTTGCAGTTTAATTGTCATCTCTTAGCTATATTCTCATAATTTTCATGTTTCTCTCTGTATGCTACAGATATCTTAAAAGAAAGACATGATTTTGACTCATTGTGTCTTTTAATATAAGAAATAAATCCTCCTATCACACATGTACGAAGGAAGAGGTTTTTTTATCCCCTTGCAACGGAGTTAGAGAGAAAGTGTAACCCAATTGTGTGTGTTCATTTGTGGTTTAATATGTTCTGTGCAAATCGGTGTACATTGGTCAACATGTTTGTTAAACGTGGTTAAGAAACTGATTATCATATTTCGGTAATAAAGCTTCTAAAAAAAAATATGGAGTTATATTTCTGAAAGCAACAATTTTCCTTTCCTCTGAGCAAAATTTGCTCGCAAATTACCATTCTTGTTGTAAATTTTAGGGGAGAGGACTTTGTCCCAAATGGCACCTTAAATCAAAAGCAGTTCAGGACCATTTTATTTACATCCAAGCCAATCATGCCAGCAGCTATTCATATGCACCACACTTCTGATCAGTTGATCTTCTAAAGTAACAAAAATGTGCTGTTTACAATTGATCTTTTACCACATTTATTGGGGATAAATTTGCTAAGGATCAAAGTCAGTCTATTTTCTTGAATTTTCTCAAACTTTCTTTGTATTTAAATATGCAATTATTCGTTTTCTTTTTTAAAATCTGAAAGTATATTAATGTATACTGTATACTTACAACAATCAATTGCGGTATTACATGAATATACTAAAGATGGACTACAAAAAAGTATTGACAAATACTAACAATGAAAATAACAATTTATTAATATAAATAAAATGCACTTTGTATGAAAGAAAGACTGAGAAATGTGTTTGATGTTTTTAGAACTGTTTTATCAGAAAAGGATTTCAAAGGCTTTATCAATAGATTTATAATACATATTTACACATAAAGGCCTGTCTTTGATTATTTGCTTTACGCAGGAGAGCTGATCTTCAGTTCAGAAGGCAAATGTTACTTTAATTGACTAGAATTCATATTAAAAGAGGAAAACACTGACATATTAAGAAAATGAAAACATATTTAGGGAATAATGTTAAGTTTGCCTACTCATTTTAACCATCTGAAAAGCCTGGAATTCCCAGGGTGTCCAATTTTTTTGCTCTTTTCATGCATGTTTTATGTTTATAATTTCTTTAAATCGATCACCGTTTGTTTATCTTCACCTTTAACTATGCATTATATTAAGTCTATCATTCCTTTTGATACCCGCTGCGAATTCGTTTTCTTTGTTTATTGTTAGTTTATCATGCAAGATTTATGAAAGGACTCTCTGTATTAAAAATAAATATGATATAAATCTATAGAAAAAAACCTTTTCATCACGTCGCATGGCATCAAATACTAGTATTTGAATCAATATCTTGTTTTGTTTTTAAAATTAAAGGATACAGTTACACACCCAGTAAACATTTAGAGAAACATGTTGATTTCTCGTAATATACCCAAAGGTATTTACAATTTTTTTAAGATATTAATTAAGAAATTAAATCCGCGTTTTCCTGAATGTTGCAGGATAACCTCTCAGGTTGAGAAATGTTGTTTGAAAGATAAAAGCCGAGGCCTTAGCCGGACGTTTATATTTCAAACAACATTTCAGGAACGAGGAGGTTATTCTGCATCATTCACGACAACAAGGACTCTATTTCTATTCTACTAAGCAGCTCTAGAATACGACTGATCGTTTCTCTATATAGAGAAACGAATTAGGTCACCACGCTGCGATGATGCTGTTCCATTTAGCACCAGAGTGTAATTTTTTTTGTTAACCTGTGAATGAATGCAGACGACTTGTGCTTTTGCCTCATTAAAATTAGCATTAAATTAAATATAAATCTGTTTGTCGCTTATATAGATTAATCTTCTGGAATATACAACAACAAAATCAATTTCCTATTTTACCAATTTATCACTAAAATCACGGAGTTTAAATATGGCGTAGGGAGGTCCGGGACACAGCCCCACTTCGCTTTACAAACCTACATTCATCAGCTACTTTTTGCAATATACAGTGTTTAAATTGCAAAAGACGACACATCGATGTGGTCTACATATGTATTTCATTTAAGGAATAGCTGTCTTATTTTCCGATTTCATGATGTGATCAATCGATTGGGTTGCGTGATAATTTGTATAAACCGCAGAAGGCGTTTATGCATAAAATTATCACGCAAGCCAATCGATTGATCATCGTCATGAAATTGAAAAAATCTGACAGTTATTCCTTATATTTACATGCTTTGATTCCGCCAATCCACATGCTCCAAGCCTTGCTTCTGTCTAGCCGTTTGTTCCGCCCTGCACGTGATTTTTTTGGAACCGCGCCAAAACATTGAGGGGAAATAAAGTACATTTACAATTTGTAATTTTATATCAAACAAAGACACTGAAAATGTAAATATTTTAAAATCAAATGTAAATTTTAACTGCACAGGTTTGATACGTGTTTCTGATTCGATAATTTTTTGAAAACGTTTCTGATTTATTGGAGAATAATGTCAGCGGCATTTCTGTTTATATCGGCAATAATCTTAGTAGAATCGTGAATATATATTTTCCTGTTCTGGCAGTCTTGAGATAATCTATTCCAAACTGCATTAAGGTTTCAGGTTGAATAGAAGGATGTTCAACTCTCTCACAGCTAGATTTTTGTATTCTGAACTGAGTGGAAGAATGCTTGAAGAGAATAGGTGTATGTCTATAGGTTATTATATGTGTTATATATATGTTGTGAAATTAACTATGAAAACAGGACCACGGCACCATTCTGGTTCGACCTATGACATAAAAGATTGGGACAGAGTAAGACTTATATGCATTACAATAATGCAGTTTAAGCAATCACGCTTATAATTCAAACTGTAGCAATTAAATGGTCTTTTGTTCATAAGGAAATATGTACAAAGGGTAAATATCTGACTGGATATTGAAAATTTCTCTTCGAAAAAATTGAATTGTTGGTTCCAATTAAGTAAATATATTGCAAAAGGTTAAAGAAAATTTTCATCATAATGATTTGAATGATTGATTGATTGTATGTTTTATGCCCATTCAAGAATTTTTCTCTCATTTTCCCGGTAAGTAATTTTTTATCACTGCTCCCCACACCGCGCAATTCAATGACGATGCTATCACCCTATGTCTAATGTTATAAAATCTAACAAAGATTCTAAAACTGATTCATATCATATTGAATTTTATTGCAACATTTTCATTTTCCTCTAATATATTTAAAACGATGATGTTCAACAAAACTCAATGTTGGGAGAGTTTAAAGCATAATATTTACATTTGCAAATGTTTGCCTTTATATGACACTATTTGAACAATGCATTTTTATATCTCTATAAAACACGTTCGTCATGCGACCATAAATTGATTGTTCATAAGCGATCTAATTGACTTCAAATGTGATCGACTTGTTCAACACATTTAATTAATAGCGTTGAGATTTGAAGAAAAAAATCTTTATGGATTTAAAATTTGAGTGCCTTATTATTATGAGATTCGATTGCGTGACCAAATCTCTTATCCCGAAAATGCTTTAAAGCTTTGAGTAATTCCATGTTGTAATGATTTAAGACGCCTTAATTAGCTTACGTAGGTACGATAAGGCTTCCCAGAGAATAATGTAGTGTACTCTGTGCCCTTCTCTGAACTACAAATGCATGGCGTTATAATTGAAAATGACGTCAATGCACTGCAAACTTGAGCTGTAATGATGGGAAGAGTGTCAAAAACTTTACACCATAATTCAATCTGCATATGAAGTTTCAAAAACCAAAAACCTAGTGTAAAATAAACGTGTCTTAATCGTTTCAAAAAAGTTTGATATATCCCAATAATTTAGATAACTTTATTTTATTTCTTAAGTTTAAAAGGCAGCGTGTTGAAAACATGTAAGAAAATATACGTTTGATATTTGTCCCTTTTTAACACCCTTGGATAGAAGCAGGATTCACAATATGTGTAAAAAAAAAGCCTGGCGCAGGTCATTAATGAGGAAAAATTTGAGGTCTCTTGTGAAAATTTGTTAGATGAGTTTCCCCTCTAAATGATTATTGCTTCTGAAAAATGTATGATGGCTTTGATTTTCAACAGATGTCGATGATGGGTGGAAAAAAAACCCACTGATTTGTCTGTAAGTTGAAGTTATTGTGAAATATTTTGTATCAGAGTAATAGTATAAATTTTCCCAAGAACATTTCGGGTTCTCAAGGATGCAACGAGTTTATTAACTTGACAAAAAGTTGATAATTATTGTGTTATAGGTCTGCACCGAAGCGATTTATGTGAATCTCTTCAAAAAGGTAAAAATGACCGTCACGTGATCAACGAGGTCATGTAATGTCGTAACAAATATGTTTATATATAGCCTAGCAAATTTTCTGTATGAATTGGCCGTATTAAGGTACAAAACTTAAAAATAAAACTTAAAATCAACCTGCCAATGCAGTGTTAGGTTTTAAACGCATATATTTACATTTGCAAATGTTTTCCTTTATATAACACTACTGAAAGCAAGCGTTTCTATAACTGTATAAATACAGGTACGGGGTCAAGACTTCATAGTTTTGCGTATGGATAAGCGTTTGACGTAATTTCTCAGTGACGTCATAAAGGCTCGACGCGCGTTTAGTGGATTACATACATGCCGTTGGGTTTGAAAAATAATGCATTTCACACGTTAAAAGTCACAATCAGGCAAATTTAAAGTATGAATAAGTCACAAATGTAAATATGAGTAATAAGGTCTCATTTTTTGAGTTTTATTGGGATGTAAAACGGGTTGGCACATGATCAAATCTTCCATAAAGCCCTTCGGGCTTTATGGGATTTGATCACATGGGCACATGATCAAATCTTCCATAAAGCCCTTTATGCTTTATAATATTTGATCACATGACCAACCCGTTTTACATCCCAATAAAACTCAAAAAATGATACCTTATTTCTTAATTAAAGCTATGGGAAGCCTTAACAGTACTGCGTAGGATAATAATAAGATAGCTTTGAAAAACATCTTAAGATAATTTTACAATGATGCCAAGATTTTTTTCTTAAGATATGACTTGGGAAATTTTTTATTAACAATCTTAGAAAATTTTGTAAGCATGCCTACAGAATTGCACAATTATTGGAAATAAATTACATTTTTCCAAGAATGCTAGGTATAGTAGGTGTAATAATGGCTAAAAAGTAATTGAATTTGAATTTGAATCAATCAAATGGAATTCTTAATTGTAAATATGTTTGAATGTTCCCAGTTTGGGAGTCTCGAAAGCATAAAATAAACGTCTAGGCATTCCTGATAGTAACATTACCATTAATTTTAAGTTGTATACCGTGTTTAGAACGTGTTTTACATTATATATTTATAACATTTGATATTGAAGTTTAGTTTCATTTCCTGATGCATTACCCATAATGCATGAAAATAATCTAAAACGTATGCACATTGTCCATTAAATGCTGTAATGAAAATTATTAATTTTCCCTTGCATTCCTTCCTGTTTGCCACTATTTTGCCTATAGCCATGACAATGAACAATCGTTGCATTTTATTATACAACAAATATATATTTAATAGCTTTGATGTATACATGTATATCATTATGAGCATCAGCTATCGTAACTTTTAGCTATTTTCAAAGAGAAAATTTAAAACAATATTTAACATCACTCAGGAACATGGAATTTAAATCATATAAGACACTGGCCCGTTTTATGATTGTTCTGTCCATAGAACTCATGCAATGTAAAGCAAACGTGAAATCAGTGAAGTTACGGCCAGTGTCTTATTTCAGTGGTGTGTTACCTACTAGTGGAGAGTGCTTCGTTTCTGAGTTAGAGGACACCAGGCTCATAGAGTGTTCCTTGAGATGTTCGATGACGGTCTGTGCTGGGGTGTTCTATAACAATAATCTGAAGTCCTGTAAACTAGTGAACGAAACTGCAATGAAAACTTACTATATTCTGCACAAGCCGGCTGGAATTTTCTCTCCGGTAAATTGTTTTTCACAACTTTTTACAGTTAAACTTCATTATCTTGAATAAAAGTGTCATTATGCAACCACTTTTGAAACAAGAACAAGTCTTGAAATAATTGTTTCAATAGTGGTTAAGATCTGCATTTTAAATCCAAACTCAAGTAGTGACATTTATTGCAATAACCTAATCTATTAGAATAATTATATCAAAAGAGGTTCGAACACATTTCAAGACCTAAACCAAGTTGCAACCGCTATTGAAATAATGTTCACTATTGATATAAAGATTTTAATGGTGAATGAAATAAAGATTTCAATAGTGATTTAAATGTTTTTTTTAATAGTTAATGGCTTTAATTTTCATGCCAAAGCCATTTTGCAAGCTTTATTGAAAACTCAACATTGAAAAAATATTTGTTTAAGAAATAAGATATCATTTTAAGAGTTTACCTTCCTACTTTATTGGATTTGATCATGTGACCAACCCGTTTTACATCTCAATAAAACTAAAAAAAAAAATACCTCATTACTTATAATTACATTTGTGACTGATTTATTACAGAAAGTAAGATATTAAAGTTTTAAATCCATAAATGTTATTTTTTTTCAAAATTCAACGGTATAAATTAAGTGTGCTGTATCACTAATGACGTCACTCTAAAACCAGGTAAATCGTTTATGACTAAATAATCAATTGATGGTCACATGACGAACGTGTTTTACCCAATTGTAAATGTGCGTTGTTCAAATACAGGTATTTAAGGGAAAACATTTGCAAATGTAAAGATATAATTATAAACTATTAATTACGTTTTGCAACAAAATTTATAACATTTATTGAGTTAAGAATATGACGTGTAAATTTATGGTCTCCTTTTCATTCAAGAAATTACCATTATCACTCGGATATCTTTGATTTAATTGACGTACCCTAAATTAAAAAAAAAAAGTAAGTTATTTTACCAGCACCCCTCCCCCTCCCAAATCGAATTTTACTGTCTCGGAGAAAATCAACAGGCAAACAATCAGTCGTATTAATAGAAGTTGTAAGTAATTTTGGTATATAGTATTCACCATTGCCATTGATTTAAAGGAAATGATCATAAATAAACATAATTGTAGAAATAATACATTAAATATAATACATTAAATAGACGAAGACTGATATATATGTGCATAAACTTTCTGGTTAAAATATGGCTATTTTTAATAAAAAGAGTACAGAAAAGAACTAATATGTGCATCTATTACTGGACTTGCTTACATTACGAATATGGATAGTTCATGCAACGTCTTTTCCTCAGTCAAAAACAAACAAAACTTAGAGGGAAGTCTGTATAAGCATTAAGGGTATAACAATACATGTAATGGGTGTTATTGAAATAATGGCCACACATATAAAACCACTGTTAAAATAATGTTCGATATTGAAATAATTATTTCATTAATAATCGTTAATATAATAGTGGTTGTACGAGGGTTGTCCGGTAAAATCGTGGATAAGTTGTCTAGAGTGAAAAATAATCACCAATAGTTTCCAAAATTTTCACTTCTCTTTATAATATATTTCTTCAATATATATACATGTATAGCAAGTTTCAATTAGATATATGCATGAATAAAAACATTATGATATTTCATGTTATGTATTGCATAATCGTATACCTTACGACGCACGAATGATAAAGACAAAGTTTCAAATACAGTGCCAGGTTTCCTCTTTACTGAAAAGAAAGTTGGATAAGTCCCACTTAAATTTAGGAATTTCAGTGGTGCACATACTTAAGTTTCCATATGTTCCTCAATAAGCAGTTGAGGAACCAATTTGACACACACATATTCAATCATCTTATTAATGAGTTAAGGTTATTTTTGTTTACTACCATTCAACTCCAATGGGCAGTCCTATATCGACAGTCGACAGTGACAACGTATTTCGCAATAACCAGAGCAGTTTGTCCGTATGTTTTTCCCCCGAAGAATTGATGAAAAAAAATCGCCAAGTAAATTCACATCTCATATGTATACTAGAGATTTGGTGATATTTTCAGATTTTTTTTCTTTTGAATTTAGTTTTTAGGGCGTCTTTACTAAATTATCTAAATCAAACTGAACTGCTCTCCAGTGCGTCATAACGTCATTAAAAGTCGCCATTTTTCGTATTTTTTGTCTAGGACCTTCCGATTTTGAATATTCGGGAAACTGCCAAAAATTATGCAATTGCTTTTAAATATTATTTAGACGACGAATTAGATAGTTGTTTTGAAACATAACTTTTTTTCTCTATTTTATGAATAATTTATACACTGTTCGTATATTCTCCAGCTGCAGACAAGTGATATTCTTATGTATTTGTATGCAGATTTATTGAAAAAGGAATAGAAGAGGACTAATAAATCAGTTTTTGCAAGGGCATACCCACAATGTGTCCTGACAGGTTGTTGTTTTTTTTTTTTTACAAATTGACTCTAGAATCATCAAGATATTTGAAAAGTGCTGCAAGCCTCATGAACTCTTGCAGATAAATTAATTATACCTATATTTAATGCAACAAACAAGCACAATATTCACCCTGCCGTCTACCCAATGAAATTTTCGCAATCAAATAGTAGAATCTATATAGCTTCGTAGCACTTTTCACAAAATACATACGTATAGTGTTGAAAAGAATAATAAATTAAACGAAGATTTTTAACTTGGTTCTGCCCTTGCAATATTAGAATTTATAGATGACCTCAAAACTGCAAGTATATTTCTAAAATCATGTAACTCCGACATCAACTGACAAGTAAAAATAAAAAAATCTAAATGTTGTCAACATGTAGATTTGAACAACATTACATTTTTTTCCGATATCAGTAAAGTCATACAAAGAATTGCCCATCCTTGTAAGGTATGCATTTTTTTATCTAAAAAAAAAATCGGCAATATTTTCATTTGTCACTTTAACTGTACATTTAAAGGGAAAGGCTGAACGTCTGTGGCAGATCCGTACTTAAAGGGGGTACATGTACTTTTACTTTTGTCAGAATGTTTGTATTTTTAATTTTTTTATAAGAAATAACAGTTCAAGCCCCCCCCCCCCCCCCCCCCCCCCCCCCCCCCCCGCACACGTAAACACATAAGTGACTATATTTTAAACTGTTATTTTTTTTCTTTTGCATTCCTATCTTTGCATGTTATATTTTCATTAACACTTCTCAGTTGTTTTCTGGATGCTCCTCATACGTCCAAGTTTTATTTGGAGTCTCATTTATCGTTCATTAAAAGTATTACATGTTAGCATTTTCATTATATTTTTAACAGTGAAATACTGTAATTTATTCATTGAATAAAAGTGATATCCTGTCATGAAAGGATATCAAAATGATATCCAGTCACAGTGTTAAAGAATATCAGAAGTGAGGGAAAACTCTCGATTGTCCTTCCCTTCACCAAAAGTGTTGTAAAAAATACTCCTTTACCTCTTGTAAGATAGAAAACGAGTTATTAAACCATTCTTTCTTTAAAAAAATCCGAAAGTTCCCCAAATATGTTGCTAAAATTTAAGTTTATAATGTTTTTCACCTAGCTATGACGTCTCAACCGCTCAACTATGACGTCATGTAGCCTAAGACTGCATAACAAAAACACGTAGGCAGAGAGAAAATCATAGAAAATGTCACTGCATGAAAAGTCGGGTTTAATTTTACCTTAAACGCAATTTAAATGCTGCGATTATTTAATGTTTAAATGCATAATATAACATATTGTGGGATCGTAAATGTTAGAAAATAATTAGCATTTAATACGAGTTTAATGAAAAATTAAAAGAACAAATTTAATAAAGTTTGGAAAATTGTAAACTTACTAATACGCTCGGATTTCAGTCTGCCTTAAACAAATATAATACCTCTAGTATACAAAACGTATAATTATTATTAAACATGGCCATAAAATTAAGTTTTATGGTCATATTAAATTTGTTCGTTTTATAAAATTTAACGTAGATGTTTACCTCATTATTTTTTGTTAAATTCACACTTTACTTTATAATACTTCCAAAAATTAAGTTATATACGGAAAAATGTAAACTTACTAATACGTTCAAATTTTAATCTTTCATAAACTAATATTAAATCTCTTGTATATGTGATGAAAATGTACGGATTAAACCTTCCCATATCATTAAGATTTAAGTTTGTATTTGATGAAATTTAATATTATCATATTATTGCATCATATTTTTATTTTATATTTATTCCATCAATAATTTGTATGGTTTACAATTGTGGGTTTTTTGGCAAGTATTTTACAATCATACACAAATCCATTTCTCATTCAATTTTATTAGATGTTAACTCAATAGTGTACAAAAAATGAGTTCTAACAAAGTACAAGATATTTCAAATTTATGCCTAAAAGTCAGAATTTAAAAATTTACAATCATGATTGTAGTTCTATTATAATAGAATAAATTTTTACATACTAGTAGTAAGTAATATATTGAAGTAATTAAAAATAATTTAATATAAGAATAGAATTGTATGTAAAATTCAAATCCGCAATAAATCAGAACACAACAGGTAAAAAATGTAGTCATTCTGGACTCCAAAAGACTGCAAAATATGACTGAAACTGCCCCTATTAAAACTGCTGCATGAGTTGTAAATGGCTTTTCAATTTCCCACAATAAATTATATCATATTTTGCATAAAAAGAATAAAAGTTGCCAATAAAAGTTGTGAATTCTTTTTACATGTACATTTAATAAGACACACGAAGCCACTGACAGAGAAGCCTCACTCGCCCACAAGCAACAGCAAAAGGATCGGTCAGAGACACCACCTTTCTCTTACTTGGGTATCAAGATCTGCAAGTTACTGCCAGCTAACCTCTTTCAGACCACCCTTATATTGTTTCCCAAGTATTTCCACAATAGATGTCCATGCACTAATTATTCAAGTTCAACTTGTAAAATACTTAATGTTGACTGTGAAAAATACAACACCCAAAAAAATCTTTTATATCATTTGGTTATGTCAATTCAAATTAAGGAAAAAGTATCACAATTACACAAAACAATAGCAGCTTAAATTTGTTTACAATACATGTAGCTCATTTCTGCTCCAACTGCTAGGTTTATTGCTTGATGATTGTAATTTAACTTATCCTCATTAAATCAACTTTACATTTGAATGCAAGACATTTCAATAGTGATATTTTTAACTTTGCCTTAAAATATCAAGAATGAGCTCTGAAACATGCACATATAAAAGTCCTGTATAAACATATGTACAAGTATATTTAACAATTTTTTTAAAGCCTTAATTACAATTCCATAACTCATAATTCATAAACTCTCTTACTTCAAATGGAAGGAAACAAATATTTTACTCTATGACTTGCAATTCTCATTACTCTTGCAATATCAATTGTAATATTTATTAAAATCACAATTCACCCCTTTTTTACTCAGAAATGTCTCTACCTCATTTGCCTATTCTATTTTTTACATCTATGACTCACTAAGCCACTGACAGAGAAGCCTCACTCGCCCACAAGCAACAGCAAAAGGATCGGTCAGAGACACCACCTATCTCTTACTTGGGTATCAAGATCTGCAACTTACTGCCAGCAAACCTCTTTCAGACTACCCTTGATTGTCTTATTTTTTCCCACAATAATATCCATGCACTCATCATTTAAGTTAGACTTGTATATATATGTAATATATAAATCAAGATTAAAATGTATGTGATTGCAGATTACACAACAAACCAATAAATGTTTAAACAATAAAAAACTTAACAGTTTTAATCTGTAATCAAGCATCAGAAAAAACTTTCACTTTCAAAGATACAACACTAGGTATATTTTTCTTATCTAACATTGAATGTGTCAATTAAAGATAAGTAAAAAAAGCATCACATTTGTGCAAAACAGTAGCAACTCAGATATTTCATCTCTAATAACCCATCTCTGTTCAATTACTACATCCAAAGGTTTGACTCTTTTAGATTCTTTATTTGTCCTAGTTCTTCTTATGCTCTGCCTTTTAGAGTGCTTTGATTTGAGAGTGGCACTTTTGGTGTCCTGTTCTTTGAAGACTTTATTTCTCACATTTATCAGAATGCAACTTCAATTTTCTAATTTCATAGATAGTATTATCTTTAGAATCATTTTTTGTACTATGAAGACGTAATCAATATTTAAAACTGCTTCTTCTTGCTTTTTCTTCTCTTCATGCCAAGAAGTTTTCAGCTCTGGAGAAGCACATCTAGCTCCTAATTTCTACAACAAACATAAAAATAAATACCCATTTGCCTATATATACATATTATATGTGTGCTTCCTGATTTATGCAATTGCATATATTAAATAGTTCACAAAATCTGAGTTGATTGTAAAATTATCAATTGACCTAGAGGAAACACAGCTCAATTTTGCTTAATTAAAAAATTTACAGAAGAGCACAAAAGATATGCCATTTTTTCAAGTCTGGGTAATAAAGACAGATAATCATCTATAATTTCAGGCCAGTGAGCTACAGATTTTGAAGCTAATGTTGTTATGATATACATGTAAATTGGGGACTAATGATTTTTTCGCCATCTTTTTTTTTAAGCATTTTACCACCATGATTACCTGCTTGACCTTGAACATGTTGAGGTGCCCTTTTCTCTGTTCCTCCACAATAATTCTTTCATTTAGCAGCAAGATACTGAGGATATGGTAAAAAGCTGTCACAAACAAAATATGAAAAATTAATAACAGGTATGGCTCTCCATAGAAAGAATATACAAAAAAGGAGAAAAAATATACAAACAGGGTATACTTATGACTAACATGACTAAAGCAAGAAGATAACATTTTACACAATGAAAAAAATTCTCTGTGTCATCTAGTTAAGTAAATTGCATAAAAAAACATATAATTATATGTATAGATCAAATCTATAGATGACAAAATATGATATGAAACATACATAATGGTACCGTAGTCCGAGCACATGGAATTTGAAGATTTACAAAGTTTACGAAAATGCAAAGAATAGCATTCACAGCATTTAACATATTAAGACACACGTAAATATAGTTTCACAGCAGCAAGCTACAGATTTTGTGGAAGTACATGTAAATTGGGGACTGGTGACTTTTTGCCATCTTTTTTTTTTTAGCAATTTACCAATGTATTTACCTGCTTGACCTTGAATATGCTGAGATGCGCAGCCCTTTTCTTCATGTTCCTCCACGATATTTTATTTAATGTAGCAGAAAGATACTATGGATAAAAAGAATTATGAAAAATTAAAAGCAGGTATGGCATCTTGTAGAAAAAATATACAAACAGCGGTATTTATGATTAGAGCAAGTAGATAACATTCATACAATAATAAAATCCTTAAACTTTGTGATCTAGTACATATTATGATATGTATTAGTCTAAGATTAAATTTAGAGAAGACAAAACATGATATGAAATGGATGTACATACTCGGAACACATGGATTTTAAGAGTAAACAAAAATGCTAAAGTTAGCATCTACAGCATTTAACATGTAAGTTATTGGGATGATGAGCAAGTGATTTAACATAAAGTAAAATATATTAACAACTTACACTGTAGATAGCAGATTTTAAAAGTGGACAACAAATGCAAAGTTCCAGTAAATGGTGGCAATCTCATACACAATAAGTTGTACAACAAATGATTAGTTCATACCTCATACTAGGTAGCCAAATATCTGGTCAAGTCACTTTCAGAAGGAAGGCTCAGCAAGTTCAATGTTGATCATTCTCATAGCTACTTCAAACTTTTCTGGCACAATTTCTGAAAGAAAAGATGTATCTTGCAGGGTTTTTTGTTCAAACTAGGAATAATTATCATGAATGTAAAAATTTGAAAAGTTTATAGATGAGGGATAACGGACACAGATCAGAAAACTCGCTCGGGTCTTAAAATGGCTCAGGTGAGCTAAAAAAATCAATTCATGTGATTTTATTGATCTTATCAGAAAATTTAAGAAATCTTACCTTTGTGTTAATCTTCATGCTGCTTTTGTCATTTCTTGTGAGCATTAGGATTCCTGTAAATAATGCATGCATAATTGTGCATCATAGAATATGATAGCTATTTTTAATAATTCATGCTTAAGTATTTAACGTAAAAAAATTATGCATAGCTCAGAATCCATTGCTATTGTATTTTTAGGATAAGGAAAATAAGAATATAAACCTCATCTCGTTTACTTGGTATATATAGCATTTCAAGTTGTTGCAATATTTTTCATAGTCTTCGCTATGCTAAAATATACAACTTAATAAAAACATTGTTAGTTTATTTGTATTAATTGAAAATTTGAGCTGCATGGTTCTCACCATTTTCACAAGCTGTCTACATAGCCGGCGCTGTGGGGAATCGTCTCAGGCACAGTCCACACTGCAACTATTTAAATAATCAAAATGAGTGCTGAATATATTCTTGATTATGCATTGAGAAATAAATAAATATTTTATTACATTGTACAACACACTCTGTAAATGCTGAACAGAGGAACACTTTAGTGACAAAAATTCTGAAACCAATCCCAAACGAGAAAATTCTGGTTAAAATCCATCTTTAAGAGAGATGATTAAAAGTGTCAAATAATTATTACAAAATTTAAATAGCGCTTGCCCAAACGTTTTTACTGCCAGGTATTTTATGTGTAGAGCCCAGACTAAGGAACAGTAACATTATCAGTAGCAGAGGCAATTATTCATTCAAGGACACGTGATAAAATTTTGTACATTGTTCCTACCGGTAAACAGGGTCGTACATGTAAATGTCTTCATCTTCTGTTAAAACATAAATTCCATCCAAAGTTAATCATGCTTCTCCTTTTCGCGTCACTCTCTTTCGTCCCTTCCTCCCGTACAACATCATGATCAAGTTCAACATGGCTGCGTGGAACCCTCCAAAAAATTGATTTTTCGGCGCGGTGTGTTGTTTTTGAATTAATTGCTTTTCGAGCCCGACTTCGATCCCGATGTAATTGTACTACAGTAGTAGTCGATAGAGAAAAAACTAAGTTATATTCCACAGTTTTGAAAAATCTACATAAGGGTTAAATAAATAAAAATGAGAAATGAATAAACTAAAATAAATAGGGTGCCTAAATATTTTTTTCAAAAATGTTTCAACATAAGTTTACATTAGGTATAAAGAATTATTTATGACATATTCAAAATACCAAAAATGTACTTAAACTTTAAGTATAAGCATATTTACTTTTACATGTCGATATTCTAAAACGAAACGTATAATTTTCTCAATTAAACTATATTATTCTCGACGTATTTTGCATTAAATATGATTATACTTATTTGAAAACTGTACTTAATTATATCACAATATATCTCATGTAAAATTATACATAAATTAAATTCAATACAAGAAATTTACTGGAGTAAACGAATTTATTAAATTATATTAAACGCGAATTTTCATGCAGTGTGTAATAAACAGAAAATTCAATGTTTTATAATTGAATATGGCATTTATTTCACGAGTGGGACAGAATTTTTTAATATTTTCACGAGTGCGACGCACTTGTGAAAATATCAAAAAATCCTGTCCCACTCGTGAAATAAATGCCATATTCAACTACAAAACATTGAATATCCTTTATTTATTTCACAACGTTCGCATGAAAAATGATTTAAAATGAAATTAGAATGCTCTCGTTCTATTCATTGTGTATAATCTCTATTTAATCGCACATTTTGGTTCTTTTATAAAAACCAACATGGTCTTAAAGTGGTGTTCGTAGTTTTGGGTTTGAGATACTTTAAGTCGTTTTAATTCCACGGAGTTAAAATTTCACGATATCTGAAAAAGTACCAATTGCCATACTTTCAATTTCGCGCTGCAAGAAATTAATTCCGATTTTCGCATAAACATTTAAAAGTTTTTGAAAACTAATAATATCATTTACGATGGGTTTAATTTTGCGGAAAAATTCTAAATCGGGAACATAGCGAAATTAAACCCATCGTGATTATTTCCAAATCTACAGTATTTCCTAGAGGTAATTAAGAAATCACAAAGAAAAAAAGACTGAGGAAAAGTACCAGATAATATAAAGTGGCAATATGTTACACTGTATATTTAGATTTAGATAGGCAATTCTTTTAAGAATAATTTTGTTGTACTTTTTGCCAATAAATGCATGTATAAGAGGAATAAGATAATTATATTTTGATTAAGATATGACTTCCTGCGGTGAGGGATGGATTCAATACGGGTACCACTGTTACTACCTGAACATGTCAAGCGCAGCCTGGGACGATGCTATGGTGAGTCATATCAAAATCAAATGTTAATATATACATTTGTGGTATCTTTCCACTATACAAACATACAGAGAGAAAATATCTTTAATTCTGTATGAAGTTTGCCAGAGGTCAAAGGTCAATACATGACCGAATCACACGACGCAATAATATCTACCGTTACTTATAAATATAAAAAAAATGACTTGCTTTTTATAAAAATGATCATGAACAAAATAAGCAAGTGAAATAATCTTTTTATTTACAACGTGAAAAAATATTTTATACATTTTGGCGATCGATTTAACCTGTGTACATAGTGAATATACCGATAGAAACTAGCCTTTGTTTACAAGTTGTATGTCACTTGTCAGCTGCACAGTCTTTAACTTTTTAGTTTATCGTTATTTTTGTTAGACCTTAAGTTAAATCCTCATGATATAAGCTAAAACTATTTTTTTTCATTAAAGTCTACTTTACGATAATGTGTAAATCTGTGGGGAATTTATCAAAGCATTGCAATCACGCCACGAATAGCTGAGACACACCTCGATCGGCGCTGTCGTACTTCAATGTAAGCTGTCGCAAGTGTCTCCGCACGTGTTAAAATAATAAATATGCCTTTCGTAGTAGATTAAATGCTTTTGATCAAATTAAATACTTGTTTGTAAATTAACTGGCTCGGACAAGTGTCTCAATCCATCGGATCAATCCATCCCTTTCAGGCGACCGAAATTCCTCCAACTTTTTATCATCAATTCTCGGACGTGTTTCCTATGTCTTCTCAGCATTAATGATCAATTTTCAAAAATAAAAATATTCCCAGACAAAAATCTATTCACTATTACTGATCACAAGTAGCCTTTAACAAAATATTCCCTTCGAAATAGAATTCTTAGCCTGACGAATTCAAAGCGTAACCGCCTTTTTAAGCCGTTTTACACCTTGCGTACTTTTGAAGGAAATCTACGGCGACCGGTTAGTGCAATATTTATATCCGAATATATTCAATTTAGTATTTAATTGTCCATCTCAAATGTATACATAAGTAATAAATAACAAGTTTATAAACTTCAATGGGAATTGAAGTGGGTCAGTACGTGATCAAATCTTCTGAGAAGGCCTTCAGCCTTCACAGGATTTGATCACGTGACTGACCCACTTCGATTCCCATTGAAGTTTATAACTTGTTATTTATTTCTTAATAACAACCATGTGAAATATTAGCGTATCTTCATTTGCTAAAAATGACTTCCAAAGAAAGTACATGCTGAATACTGTAAAAAAGTTCTAGGACTCAACGAAACAGCTTGCAATATTTCCAGTTTATTCTTTAATTAAAACTCCAGTTTAGATAGATTTGTACGAGTAAACTCTCAGAAAGTAAAAATCCTTGATTGAAGATAAAGAAATTCGGTTAGAAAAAATAATTATTGTGGCAAATCAATCGTAATTAAGTAGAAAACACATTGATATTTCAATAATATGTATAATTTCAATGCCCTTTTTAACACTTCAACCTTTCAACCTTTCTTAGGACAAAGACTATTTCTTTCGCCCAGTTATCAAAAAGCAAACTTATTTTGAACAATTTTTCATCCTCATGTGAATCAGTCTGCATCCATTAAAAAATTAAAACGTAAAAACAACACAAGTTTAACGCGCAAGATCATTACATACAGTTCAACTTTTGCCATATTTTTAGAAATTCGTGTTCACCGCGGAATTAAGGTTTAATTTTGTTAGTTCAGACTTAAAATGAGAAATAATGACATTTTTCGGCCGTCAGTGCTGTTTGTTCTTGTTAAATGGAGCATAGAAAATGAGTCCAGATTTCCTCTAAAATAAATTATGTTGACCACACAACGGCCTGATTTGGATGTATCGGGTTGATAGAAATGCATAAAAATTAGAGGACAGCATAAAAAATACCTGGCGGTACCAGTAAAATGACAGATTTTACGGAACATGTAAAGATGTCTACGTTAATGAAACAAAAACTGTTTTTCAATTGTGGAAAGAATTGCAAATGGGCAGGAAACCATTGATAAAGCGAGACTTCACAAAATGCATCGACATAACAGACAAAGCTATATATAAAAACGTTTCATTTCAGTTATAATTAACAAAAAAGATGTTTTCTTTATTTTTTTTCAGCAAACGTGTCACGGTCTAGGAGCGTATCTGGTAGCGATTAATTCCGCAGAAGAAAACGAATGGATTCGACTGAAAAGGGAATCAGGTATATGTTTTACTTAATACCACTGAAAGGCATCTTTTAGAATGGTAGTATAGACAAAGACAATATATGGTTGAATATGATTTGTTTTGTTTTTCAATGGAATGTTTATTCCGTCTATCGTTTGATATAATTGACTATTGTTTGATATGATTGACAATGGTAAAATTTTTGGTTGGCTATGCATTGATATGTTTGACAAGAAGACATATTTCATCAAAATTATCAAATTAACTATTATTTTTTAAATATCAATAGTTAACTTTATTTTCAAACCTTAGTACTAGTATTTGATTTTTTATGCCATCAGGCTATTTTGAGATTTTTTATACATGAGAAATAAAAACTTTCATCAATTAAAACTAATTAAGAGAATTTGTGTTAATTAACATGATTAATGCATCCTGTTTGTGTGTCACACTTTCGTTTGCGGGTGATATCTTAAGAATATTTTTGCAATGAAATTTTATACCAAAACTCCCAAGGGCCTCTCTCATCACTTCCAAAGTTTCAATCTCCGTTTGTTTAATAAGTATTTTTATTGTATTAAATGTCGCTTTGCACTGTTTTTAGTGCAGAGGCATATGGAGAGTTATAACGTGTAATATAGGTTGTTGGCGGACTTTTTATTCTTATAACATCAATCAGAACTTTTTAGCAAAGATTAAATTATACACCAAGTATTGGGTAAAACTTTGACAATGTCGAATGTGAATATTGACATGTATGTTACCTTATGTTTGCATACAATTTACCATATAATCAAGTGACTCTGTGGTGTAAAGGTCCCGGGTTTGAATTGCCGTGGTTATTTTACAACATGATAGTATTCAACATGTGAAATAAAAAACAATTATGACGTCTGCTTGTACGAATTCATAAAATCTTCATTATAATGTAATTATAACTATTCTACATAAAAATAATCTTCTATACACATAATAAGGAATAGGCAATCAAATCTTTATATTCAAATTGGCATTTTTATTTGCTTCAAAACACGTGGATACATTTAATAATTTTACAACGTCAGGGTGGTCCACCCCCACCCCAACCCTATCTGTGTTTGTTCTTCTTTTGTTCCTTAAGCGGGGACACAAATTCTAAATTGGCTTTTTAATTAGTAGAATCCGATTTGTCGACAAAATATTTGTTTACAAACACTTTTCCCCTCTGAATAAAAATGCTCCCCAATGCAAAAGAACATTATAGTCAAAGTTTTTTTTTATTATTATTTTTTTGCAATTTTAATTCTAAAACATATTAAATGCACAGAATCTGCAAGGAGCTGAAATCCTGATTCCGTTAAAAAAATTACGCCAAAAATATTGGTATACCTTTGAACCTTTGAGCAGGCGAAACGCCAAATATTACACCCGCCAAGAAAGCCCACTATACAATTATACATTAACATGTTGATCTTTGTACAGAATTCTGGCCGATAAATCAAATCTGGACTGGAGGCACGGATAGAAACGATGAAGGCTCGTTTATCTGGGAAAATAGCAAGAAGGCTCTAAACTACAGCAACTGGGGGCCCGGGGAACCAAATGATGATTCAACCAGCGAGGATTGCCTGACTCTTTATTTCTCTGGTGGAAATTGGAATGATGAGAAATGTCATTTGGAACGTCCCTTTGTGTGCGAGAAAACATTTTTTTGAATCCTCTTTCCAATTCCCAAGAAGTTCTGCGGGACATTGGAACGTTGGGAATTTATTTGCCATAAAACATTTTAATTCCTATCTCAAATTCGTCAGAAGCAAATCTGGCTTTATTTGTTATCAAAAAGAAATAAGCTTCTTTTTATTTTTTACTTTTTTTTCTTTTACGTTATATATGCAAAATTAACATATGTAATATTAACATTTATAATTTCTGAGAATAGACCACTCTAAAAAGAATATTTTACTCACAAAAGTAGACTTGCTCAAGTCTCCATGTTTTAGTGCTCTGTTTCATACTTTTTTGATAATGTCAAACTTGCATAGAGACTTGAGCAAGTCTACCATAAAAGTAGTTTAAACGACTGCCTAACAGTGGCATAATGGTGGTTTAAAGGTGGTTTGATGGTATCTTAATGGGGTTTAGACAATAAGCACGTACAAATTGGCTTAATGGTGGGTTAATGGGTATTTAGAAAATTTGTTTTGAAGCTACCACTTTGCTACCATTAAGAAACCATTAAGGATTTTGAAATAGCTTAATAGTTAATTGCTAAATTGCTAAATTCAAACATGATAATGACAAAAATGTGAAATGCAATTATTTACTAAAATACAATAATTTTTAGGAAATGTTTTGATACACTGTATATATATTTCACGTTAAGCAATACTCTATAGAATGGTTGTAAAAAGAAATTGAAGGGCCTCTATCTTGCATATGGTTAATAAAATCTTTATTTTAATTGAAACAATACACTTTTTTCATTCCAAGTATTGAACGCTTTTTTCCCCTCATTTACTCACAAAAAATGCTGTTTAAATCATAGCTCTCATGCATGAAATACAATGTAAGGTTGGTTCCAGGAATTCCAGTGATTACGATTATTTGGGGATGATGTGGGATGGGTGGGGGTAGGCGTTAAATTGGTAAATGACATACTTATGCATGTAGTTAATATGATCGTAACAGCAGTTTTTCAAAAGTTTGATTTGGGTATCCCTTTGAACACAACTTAATACACAACCCAGTCAGACTGTAACAGTAGAAAATTTGTCTTTAATTTATCTTTACGACCCATTTCTCTCTTGAAATAATAATTATAAACACTGTCTTTTTCATACACAATCAGCAATCAAATTTGGGCACCACATACCGTACCTAGACACTTTACCAAGCAATATCAACGATTGAATTTGCACCGAAGCGTAACTTACAAATGATTGAAGTAATATAATTCCAGGATATGATAAAGATCAATTTAATCCAAATTCCGTTAAATTGTGAAACTAATTTATCGATCTTTTCATTTATTTTAATCTAATAAAAAAATCGCATGTGATCAGAAATTATTTTATGTGTTATTTTAATAAATCGTGCTGACAGTGTTTAATTAATAGTTAAAAATAATTCAATTGGAAATCAGACTTGTTTGTTCATGTCCAGTTAAGTGTCTGTTACATATACGTTATATTCTTTGATTGACCGAATTCTGAAATGACGGATCTTTGCAAAGTGGTACATATAGCTAGGTATACTGTTGTGATTTTATGTCAATTTTTTAAAAGAATTTCAACACTTCCTCCCCCTTTGCACTTTCTCTCTCGTATGAAATTCCAATTTGTAAGCTGTGTTGAAGTTTAATTAAAAATAATGCATACTTTTGTTAAAGTATTTGAAATGATGTACTTTTTTATGAAATCCGGTATGGTCCCATAAAATAGACATGAATGTGCTTACCACTGTGTGTGTATCATAACCGCTACATTTTTTTAAAAAAATGTCAGTACCGCTGTACACAACTGCTACAAAAAGGTTACATTATCGCTACATTTAAAAGTATACATTAAGGACAAACGCAACATACCTTACCTACTGATATTTTTCAAGATATTCCTGAAAAAAAGATCATAGTTCCATCAGATGTTCTTAGACAACAAAAAAAAAAGCAGCATGCATCACTAGGAGTTTTTTGAGAGGTATAAGTTGATGAAAATTCTTGGATGATCCATAGAAAAATATAATGAAAAAATACTAAACATATATTTTAAATTTTTCTTTAATCAAAAATTGTTTTAGAAGAAGTGCACAAAACAATACATCGACGTAAAAATATAGCACACAGTTCCTTCAAGAATTGAAACTTTTCAACTCCATGGAAAAAAGTTCATTCCATATATCGTTAGCCAGAGGATTTTGCATCTACAAATTAATTTAAAGTTTAACGGCACGTATAACACCTGTTTTTTTTAGGGGTAGGGCTTTGAGCAGCCCCCCCCCCTTTTTTTAAATTTTTTTAAACCTAATAAACTTAATAAAACATTTCAAAAGAAGTTTAAACCAATGAATTTTATGGATAAAACACATAAAACAGAGAGCCTCAACAGAATTAAATTATACACTTTAGTTTTTGCTTTAAATTGATGCATCATATGGGTATCTAGTAAAATATATAAAGAAAAATCGTACACAGTACCGACTATACCCAACCTGAGCAGTCACACAGTCCCACAACGGTTCCTGCAGTCCAAGAGGTCTCAGAGAGCAGTCCCAGCAGTTTCACAAAGCAGTTCCAGTGGGCGTGTTTATTAATTTAATGGGCGGAACTTACTGAGAAATAAAATGGACAATAACCAATGGAATTATAATAGAAATATAAAAGACAGTTGAAATTATTCTGAGTAGTATCAACAAATTTCTACAATTTTACATGTATGAAATAGTCATTTCTAAACAGTACACACATAGAAACAATTTGAAATAATATTTATTGAAGTAAGAAGAATTGCACTCCTAATAATAACATGAATATTTAATCAAATTTATGTATTTTATTAATCTTTCATCAAAAAATAATTCTACTTCTTTCATTTATGTGATTGATATTGGTATCAATATTAATTTTTTATTCCATATATCAACTTGAATTGCTTATTTTCTACCAGAGTAACGTTATAATTAGATCTTGTTATCATAGAGCAAGGTCGATTCTCAAACTACTCTGAAGTACGAAAGCCCAGAAGGCTCATTCGAGATTCGAGTTTCAAAGTACGAGATTCGAAATTCGAGATTCGAAATTCGAGTTTCGAGATTCAAGATCCAAACTAACCAATCAGAAGCGAGTTTCAAAGTACGAGATTCGAAATTCGAGATTCGAAATTCAAGATCCAAACTAGCCAATCAAACGCGGGTTCAACATTTGATTACTCCCCTTTATTATGTTTTTACTATGAAGAAATCGTTTAAAATAATAATAACCAATGGGTCATTTAATTATATTACAATGCAAGAAAGAGTGTTATATATATTAGAAGGAAATTTTAATAATTATTGGATTTTTGATCAGAAAAATATACTTCAATCTATATTATAGCTTCTTAAATATTAAAAAAATTACTTATATCATGAGTATATATATTTATTTGTATTGTTTTCTAAACTTAATAATTATGTATTTTCCCGCACAGGAAAACCAAATGTACTTGTGGACAGGGCATCCCCCCCCCCCTCTCGTTATTCAACCCCAGGGCTTATTGGACTTTTTTCACAACATATATCTAATACACTTATTCATCGTGTGTCCAATGCCAAAAAAAATCGTTAAAACCCAGAATAATCGCTCAACACAAAAAATACCCCACTATACATTATAAGAGAGAGAATATGCCACATGCACTCCAGTTTGTTTACGTTGTACGCCCGCTGCTATTTCTAGGTTTAAAACCATGCATTTATTTTAACTTAAAATGTTGATTAAAATTAACTGTCTCTACATATATTTCTGTCTTAGTCCATGCTATCGGATTGACTCTGCATCTCGTAATAATCCCATATTTTCTCCTTAAATGACACCTCTCTTGTATAGTGGGATGGGGTAATGTATAATGGGTTTCTTTTGGTTAAAGGATTATTCTGGGGGTTTTACGCCCGTGATGTTTTCGTATTGTACACATTAATAAGTGTAATAAATATAATTTGTTAAAAAAAATTGTCCAGTAAGCCCTGGTATTGAATATCGAGGGGGAGGGGGGGGGGGAGGGGGAGGGGTCCTGTCCACAAGTACCTGTGGTTTTCCTATGCGCGGAAATTCAAAAAAAAATAAGTGTAGTAGATAATACAAAAATATATATACCCCTGATATATGTAATCTATTTAATATTTAAGAAGCTATAATATAAATTGAAGTATATCTTGCTGCAAAAATCCAATAATTATTTAAATTTCCTTCTAATATATATAAAATACTCTTTTTTGCATTGTAATTTAATCAAATGACCCATTGGTTATAATTATTTTAAACGATTTCTTGATAGTAAAAACATAATAAAGGGGAGTAATCAAATGTTGAACCCGCTTTTGATTGGTTAGTTTGGATCTTGAATCTCGAAACTCGAATTTCGAATCTCGAATTTCGAATCTCGTATTTTGAATCTCGAATCTCGAATGAGCCTTCTGGGCTTTCGTACTGAAGGCATTTCTTTGAGCAATGGGTTTTTTGACAAATTCTTTGTTAATTTTGCTGATTATTTTTCAGTCAATGTGAATTTAATAATTGTTAGTTTCTCTATGTACATGAAATAGGAAACCGATAACCCAAATAACAAACATTGACATTCTGCTAACCATGCCCAAAGGCAATTGAAACTGCATGTGTTTACAACGATTAATACACAAGAACCATAATTTCATAATAATTCCAATCTTAATTTTATTTAATGATTCCCTGTGTTTTGATTGGACGAGAACAAATTAAATAAAAAGTTTACACATCGATGAATTTTTCAATCAGAACTACTTTCTTGACTGTTGTAAAAAAAATTATGAAAACAAATACTTCTAGTCCGTTCTAGCTAAATTATGATTACAAGAATCTTGGAATAAAAAATGAATGAATGAATGAATGAAAAGGAGATAAACAGGACTGACAGACGGGAATATTATGTTTATGTCACTGTCGTATTTTTAAAAAAAAGCTGATCATGCTGTCATTTTCTCGACG